TTACATTATAAATACACAAAATCCTATAATTATACATATATTACTCGCCATCCCATATCTGTGGCAAGATGTATAAGTACCCATCTAATTACACACATCCACACTCACATATACATTAAAAAAAAAAAACAAAAAAAAACTTGTATGCTTCTCCTTCCACATAAAAACATATACATATTAAAAGACGTATCGGTGTTCAAGTACAATACCATAGTTATACACATACAGTCATGTGTCCGCATTCATGCGCATATAGCAACATTTCCAAAAGCAAAAAGAACAAAGGTCATTCAATATTATTTTTCCTATATGGTTATTTCTCAATGTATTTTCTTAGGTTTAGGTTGTTCTTATGTCGGCATTTAAAAATTAAAAAACAGTCATGAGTTTAATTTATGAACAAAATTCCAACGAATAGATGTCAACTTAATAATCAACAAGAAAAAAGTTTAGGAAAATAAAAAAAGATTACTAGATGTAAAATGAATTATTCTTTCAATGTACTGTCTATGAATTTTTTCCAATCAACTATTTCATAGAAAATACCCAAAACTCCAACAAACATCAAATTAAATTCCTCATAGATTTTGTAGACATTTAGATTTAAATCAAACTTTAACCCCCAAATATACCCTTTAAAGGAATGCGAAATAACAGCGTCCAAGAAATTAAGTGCAACCTTCTTTCATCAGGATTGTTTTATTGTATCTTCTTCCTTTTATGTCGGCTTTCCTTCACCACTTACCCATCCATATCTAAAGATAACATAAGTTAAGTGAAGCATTTGTCTAGCCCACACCAAGTGGGGTTAGTGATAAAGAATTGAAATGGTATATCTAACTCACTCATGTCTTCCCTCCCCCCTCACTTCGTTAATTTACATATGCTTAATACGGCCCGTCAAAAATGTGTAAATTTCTTTTTATTTTTCATTTCAACCTTTGGAAGTAAAGTCTGATGATCCAGAGCCATTTAAAAGGGCTGTGCTGAAATAATTTATTACATGGAACCTTAAAGTTGTCTGTTTTTTATTCAAAATATATATATATATATATATATATATATATATATATAGCATGGGTGTTTTTAGTAGGACCCCAGCAAATATGTGGTATTATGGTATATGTTGGATGGAGTGGTGAAGGATTTGTTCTTGTGGTGATTGAGGAAATTGTTTAAGCAAATGAGTCATGAGTTGGACTAGCTGGACTTCCCCTTCCGCCTTGTGCCACAAAATAATGTAATTTGTATATTATTTAACAAACATGCCATCCACAGCCAAGATGCCTGGGTGCAAAGTGTCCCAGCCACGGCTGCCCCACAGCAGCTGCTCTAGTCAGCTCTCAGCAGCAACAATATGCAATAAACTGTCCTTTTCAGGACAATGCTCTTAATTGCACTACAAAACTGTTTTTCAGGACAATGCTTTTCTCACATTCTACATGAATATGCAGAGACCTTTCACCTAGTGAACTGTCACCATATTTTTGTCAATATATTTTCTTTAATGACGATAAATTTGGCAATGTATTTTTTTTACTCAAGCTTTTGTTTTGTGTGTTGCTGTCTTCCTTCCCTCACTGTCTTTTTGCGGGCCAATATATCACCCATAACAATACCCACCTCGCCAGGGAGTAAAGCTGGTGGGGGAGATGGTTTAGATGCCAACCACCTGCCAGTGAGTCAGGTTGTACTGGGTTACATGTTACCAATAACAGGCCTAAGTCTAGTCACACCTGGCAAAGTGATAAAACATTCATTAGTTCATTTTCCTTAAGTAATCAAATTTCCATTCAGACATGTTTTTGTGTATCAAACATGTTCCTATCGAATCTCTGAAATATCATGACTGACCTTTATTGGTAGTTTTTTTAATGTTTGAATTTTTCTTCTGTGCCTTCAGATAAAAATAGCATTGATCGATGTGATATGGTTTCTGCATGAAAAAGAGATTTGAATGATCCTGATCGCTTTCCTTTTATCTGTAACTCATACTTAATAAAAACAGAAGAAACATTAGTGATAAAATTATATTGTATTTTAAGGTGAAATTAATAGACAAGGATAAGAATTGGGTTCCCATATAGTTTGTGAAATCTTTAACAGATTTAAGAGGGTAGGCAAATGGAAGGAAGGAAGGAAGGCACTGTGTGGCGAATGCATGTCAGTACAGACACAAAATAGGCTCCTAGTCACATGCAGACATGTCTGTCAAAGCTATTCACATCTGAGATTTCCAACATTAGCAGTATAACAGCTTGGCATGTCCAGGTATGAACCTCTCTGCAACTTGTCCATATCTGGGTCTTTGACAAGAAAACCAGCAGTTAGCAGTTGGCTTTTGGCAAAAGCCTTTTTGCTATTGTCAGAGATTCAAAGTCTTATGAAGACATTCCCTTGGTGCATTTTGTTCTGGAAGTTGCATACCATCCACTGTGCAGTGGTTTCTGAAGCAGTGGCCTCATTCCTCATTATTCAGATTCTTTCTTTATTTCTGTTGTGTAGGAACCTACCACCCCTCTAAAAGATGAACTCGTCTACGAACAAGGACGTTAACGAGTGGCATGTAAAAAGACAGTAGTAGTAGTTCTTTTGGCTGAGTTAGTTATAGACTACTCAGACGATATCTGTACCAACTTACCAACCGAATAAACCCCATTTTATCGTTACATGTTATTTGGCGTTTGTCTTTATTAACCCCAAATTAACATCATAACAATTTCCATCCTGTCTTTTCTCCTTCTCTGCCTGTTCCCCCTTAATTGTTAATAATCTGCTAAATGTTTGCCCCAACCGCAACATACTATTGCTTTATATTCCTACACACTGACATTTAGAATAACGATAATTTGAAGAGAAGTTTAAAATAGTATTAAAGATACTCCTTGATACTAAATTCCTTGAAAACAACAGACATGATAGTAATGATAAATAGTTCATAATTTGATTCAAAATTTTCATGCCCTTGATTGTAAGTATTAAAATACATATTCTGTTCAGGTATTTTCCTGAAAGCCTGGGTGATATAACTGATAAATAAGACGAAAGATTTCATCAAAACAATGGTGGAATCGTAATAAGGATGTTGGAAATAAAACATTGATTCATTTTCTATGACTTAACATTTTGCAGGCTATTTAAAACCATAAAATATTTTTAGATTGTAAGAATTTTTTTTTGAGATAATAGTGTAATGATACAAGTCTTACTAATTAACCCATAGCTGGGTGAGAAGAGGTGGATTCATAGCTTTCCCAAGAGTATTTCCGCATAGTTGAATATAACAAACCAAACATAAATTGGAAGCTGGCACTCTGATTAACAATTCTGAGCCATTAACCATTACACCAACCGCATAACCAAGCTTACACCACCTAGTACTCCCAAGCAGTCACCCATCTAGATAATGTCCAGGCTCAACATTGCTTCAGTGATTGTACAGGAACGGGTGTTTCAACACTATATGGCCATAAACCAAAATAAATCTTTACAGGTGCTTGAAAAGAGACTGTATCAATATTTTTACTCACAGAAAGTCAAACAAAAGAAAGTTTTCATCATAGAATCTGATTTAGAATTCTGTGAAATAATATTCTTTTGTATCAAAGTGTTTCATTCAATAAAATTCTGTTATTTCCATCATGACTTGCATTTTGTTGGATTGGAATCAAGTTCAGATTCTGTAACTTTCCAGGGTCAAATGTTAACTGGCTTATTTAGATAGTGAATTATCTTGATGTGATGGACAAAAATTAATGTGATTTTTGGATTCAGCACCTAAAAATTGTTACAATAAAGTGAAAATTTCTGATGGGGCAGGCCTTTCATACTTTTTTTTATAGGACTCTAATTTATCAATACTTGTATGAAAATTAATTTTTTTTTTAATATTCTAATATTTTGGTTTTTAACCATATGATCATAACTCTGGGATCATCGAGAGACTGTGTTTAGTTGTTAGTCTAGTCCTGGTAAAATAACCAATGAGGGTTTAATATATAGTTATTTTTGAAAGAGTTTTATTGGAAAAAATATTGCACCACATGTGGTGCAAACATGGATAGAAGTTAGTCACAAATATTTGTCAGCTTTTGATATAATTATATGGCAGCCAAATAAATTGGTAGTAACATATTTGATATAGAATTTCAGAATTAATAAAAAAAAATGCTTATACTGAAGTAACTGTGTTAAAAGAAAAAAAAAGAATATTATATTTGTGTATTATTTCTATGTCCAGAAAGAACATACGTAATAAAAATACTTACCTTTTCATTTGGGGTAACCAGGTAAGCATAAATAATTTTCTTTAATGAAAGTTCAGCACACAGGTGTTTTACAGGTAAGAGAAGGGTCCTAATATAGGACAAGATTTTATGCAGAGACATCTGCACTAGTGGAGTGGACGGGTTGACATCAAATCGTGTCAGACAACTGCACCAGTGCATTGCAATTCCTGCTGATTTACAAGTTCGATTCAAGGGCACAGATTGCAAAAGACTGATGCCACGAGTTGAATAATCAACAGGTTCATACATTCGTGATGTGTCAAGCAAATCAAGCATTGTTTCATGTACATCAAATGGTGTCACAAGTTTTTCACGGTTGCCCTTAAGATTGTTTACAAAATATGAGTACTTATTATGAAACCAGGTTGGGAGCACAAAGGACATGAAAGGTAGCCGTTCTTCAAGCTTTCCTTGAACTGTATTGCGTACATTGCTGTAGCGAGCACCATGGTCACTCATGACAATCAAGAGAGTATTGTTGAGAAAGTTACGTTGCTGCATCTTTTTCAGAAAATGAACAAAGTCTTTGTCCAGATACTGGACAGGGTTGTTGTCATTGTGTGATAGTTCACCATGGAAGGCAAATGCAAATTTGGACACGTTATTGTACTTCTGAAAAAAGTCCATAACATAATCAAGTGTGAATTGGTGTTTGGGTTTTGAACCAAGACAAAAGTTAAGGCTTCGTTCATGAAGGACTGACTCACTCACTGCTTGCCAGAATGGACGCATGTAATGGTCAGTAGGGGCAGTGTAAAAGCCATTGAAACGCAAGTTGAACACAGCCAAACTGGGACTGTCCTCAGCAAAGAGTGTAGCATAACCCTTACTACGGAACTTATTCCAGATCAAAGGATAGTCATCAACAAACCCTGAAGTAAGCTGGTTCTTGCGGACCTCAGGCAATTCAGTTTCTGTTTTGCCTGTAAAAATAAGAAAAAATAGTAAACAACAGAAAACACATGCAGACAAAAAAGATGTAAAGAAACAAAACCAATGCAAAAAAGAAAAAAAACAAATACAAATAATACAAAGAACCTATATAATTTATCGGAGTAAAGAAATTATCCCTGACAAGAAAGAAAAACAACTTAAATGGAATCCATTCAATAAGGGTGATTTAAAAACAGACATAAGATAATAGATGAAAATAATAAAAACATTTCAACCATTTTGCCCTCTAGCCATCTTTAGGTGTCTCTTTCTGGCTAACAGCAGTGGAAGCAGCCAAGCATGACAGCAGAAAGATAAATAACAGTGGAAGAAGCCACACTTAACAGAAAAGCTGCAGCAACAGATGATGCAAGGAAAACATTAGGATTATGGCTCTATATTCTCAGTTCAAGATTGTCTAGCAGATTAAAAAGATAGCAGTTGGATATACAGCTATTATCAAGTTGCACAGACTCATTTAAGATTCAATGACATAACAATTGGCAACAAAAAGTTTTAATAACCTTTGCCTTCTCTGCATGGATAAAACTACTTCATTTAAAAAAGTAGTGGAATAAAAATAATATCACAAATGTAAGACATCCTCCCATGTCCTATTCATTCCCTTAATAAAAAAAATATACATGAAGTAAATTATATGTGTGAAATAAAAAAAAACAACAACAAAAAAAAAAAAAACACTAAATTTCTTTTTTTTTTTTCCTTCTATGTTAGAGGTAAAGATACCCTGTATATTAGCAGGAAAAACACTGAAATTATTGCTGATGTAATAGAGTTTGAAATAGTTCTTTTATTGAGCAAAGGTGCTATGAAATATCTAATATTGTTCTGGATTTTAAAAGTGACAGCAGGTCCATGTTTGGTCAAAAGTTGCAACTCTGGCATTATTATATCAGTCTTGCAACTTCAGGTTCCAAATAGAATGAAAGAATTGTCTTGATGTGCATTTGGGATATTGAAAACAAGTCTATTGGAGATAAAAAGGAAAGTAGTAGGAAATTATGTCTATGGACATTTAATGAAAGAGTGCCTATGGACATTAAAGAGATTAAAGGAACAAAAAATCCTTCATTTAATAGGTCATTTTACCAGATATAGTGTAGTACTTAAAATAAGGTCAAAAGAAAGTTCAGAAATTATTGATGTTGTATTTCAGTTTTGGATTGCATATTTTGTACCTCCTAGTTTTCTAACCAATAATGGATAAGAACTTGACAATTAAACTTTCAAAGACATGGCTTAAAACTTAAATATTATTGTATAAACTACACCAGTGCAGAATCCATGGAGCAATGGATTAAATGAGCATCACAATGCTATACTTAATGAAATAGTATTCAAAATTATGGAAGACACTGGTTGCAACTTGACATTGCTTGGTCACTGAGCACCAAAATTAATTTGTATAATGTCAATGGTCCAAATCAATTAGTATTTGGACAAAATCCAAACATGCCTTTTGTCCTGATAAAAAAAAAAAAAAAAAAAAAAAAAAAAAAACAAAAAAAAAAACAAAAAAAAAAAACACTAAGATTCATTAATTTTTTATTCTTTCTTTTAATTTTATTAATTTTTTTACAATAATAAGATACCATTATGTATGCTTCTTTTAGTCACCAATGTGATGTGTAAGATGATTGACATGGGCTGGATATCATCTGTTTCCATGCAGACATTTATATCTGACTAATACTATGACAAAATCTGCTTACTGTAACTTTAATCTCCTACAATGTGTAACCCACAATAACTCACTAAAATGAGCACTAACATCACTCAACTGACAGGCATTCGTGAACTATGACCTTTAGACAAATAAAAATTGCAGGAAGTGAAAAGGAGAATCAATCAGAGCCATTAGAAAAACATCGGACAATAGCTGACACAACAATTTGGAATGTTATAAAAAACAAAGAAACAACTGGTGTAGTGAGCCACAGGCATAGAACAGGTTGGACAAGGAAAACAACAGTAGTTGATGACAGAAAGATTGTGAGAGCTGTGAGGAAAAACCTTAAAACAACTGTCAGTGACATCATCAATAACCTCTACAGTGAAGGTGTGAAGGTTTCAAAATCGACCATTCGAACGTCTTGAGAACAGAAACATAGAGGTCATGCCACAAAATGCAAACCAATCATCAGCAGTAAGAATCGGAAGGCCAGATTGGAATTGGCAAGGAAGTACAGAGATGAGTGACAAAAGTTCTGGAAGAAAGTTTTATGGACTGATGAGACCAAGATTAATCTCTACCAAAATGTGGAGAAAGAAAAGATCTGCTGATAATCCAAAGGATACAAGCTCATCTGTGAAACAGGGTGGAGACAGTGTCTTGGCTTGGGTTTGCATGGCTGCTTCTGGAACAGATTCATTCATATTTATTGATGACATAAATCATGATGGTAGCAGCAGAATGAATTCATCAGTCTACAGAAATATTTTGTCTACCAATTTACATAGAAATGCATCCAAATTAATCAGGAGGAAGTTTATCCTGCAGTAGGACAATAACCCAAAACATACTGTCAACACAACAAGAGACTTCATCAGGTTCCAAGTCAATCACCGGACAATAACCCAATAGAGCATGCATTTCATCTCCTGAAGAAGATATTGAAAAATGAAACCCTACAAAACAAACAAGAACTGAAAGAGACTGCATTGAAATTCTGGAAAAGCATCACAAATAAAGAATATAACAGTTTGGTGATGTCAATTGGTCGCAGGCTTGATGCAGATTATTGCAAGCAAGGGTTATGCAATCAAATATTAAATGTTATTTACTTTAAGATTATCTGTTAATTTACTTTTGCTCACCAAAAAATGGGGTGATCTGATATAAAAAGAGGGTATGTCCTAAGCTGTTTAATGCTTCAAAATGTAAATACCAGGAAATAAAAGCTGAAATTCTGAACTTTTGTCTCATTTTTTGAACTTAAACTCAAATGTCTTCAGTGAACAACAAAATCAAAGGAATTGGCCTTGTCATTCCAATAATTTTGAAGGTGACTATCTATCTATCTATCTCTCTCTATATATATATATATATTCAGGGTGTATCAAAAATACTTTAACAAAATTTGGGAGTCGGTTCTTGACACCAAAACAAAGTAAAATATCTATATAAATATATGTACAAAAGGCCATTGTTATACCTTAACACAGCAACTCATAAAAAATGTTTAAAATGTTCTGTTTGCTTTTACACATGCATGTGCCCATCAAATCATTAACTGTTGGACCTTTTCAAATATTCCTACACAGTATCAAATGGTTTCACAGGACCCCGTGATATAATGATTAAACTTCCTAAAAAGAGCACACCAGAACTTAAAGAACTGAATAATGTAAAATAGAAACTAATTAACAATGGCTTCCCTAACCACCTTAGAGATCACTAAATTAGACTATTTCTCCCCAAAGTAAATAACAATGATAGTGAACATACAGTCAAAAATTACAAATACTTTCTACAAAAACCAAATGCACATTAACTACAAACAAGAGGAAACTTCACTTAGAAATATTATAAAGACATAAACTACCCCAATTGACCTGAATAAAAAATCAAATTAATTATCTACTATAAAAATTTAAGACAGCTAACCTTATTCTCAAAAACAACATGTTGTGTTGGAAACCTACCACCCCTCTTGAAGATGAACTTGTCTGTGAACAAAGACTTTAAATGGTGGCATGTCAGTTGACATGGGGAAGACAGATAGACAGAGTTCTTAGCTGAGCTAGTTATTGACTACTCAGGCGATTTCTGTACCTTTTTACCAACCTATTAAAACCCTTTTTATTGTTACGTGTTATTTGGCGTTTGTCTCTACTAACCCCAAATTAACATCATAACACAACAACACACCAGCTAAGTCAAAAATTACAATGAATGAACATTATCTATGAGTTCAAATGCCCCTTAAGGAACTGTGTTCCTGATCAAACCGAACTCAAATAATTACATCGTTCACACAACTACATGCCTATCCAGATGTCTTACCTTACACCTATCTGACCAGAGCTCCATTAGAACCCATTTAAACACACACACACAAACCTACCAGACTCCATTCAAAACATACTAGTAGAAAACACAAACATAATAATCTCATCCACCTGTAAAAAAAGATTAAAAATAATGGAAGCCCTAATAATAAAAAAAGGAAAAGCCAACTCTTAACAATATTAACTACAAACTAGGCCACCACAATGTGCTAATTGTTTGGAAAATAAAACACCTCTATAACACACTAAAAGCATACACATAATGCACACATTGAATTAAACTGAAAAATAAAATCATCCTTGATAATGGCTAAAAGTATAGCCAAAAGTGCTCAGAACTATAGAACATTTGAACAGTTTCTACAAACCCTGTGTCTCAAAAAAGAAAGCTCTTATGTTCACACAAGAAAAATTAAACAAAAGGTTTAACTATAGTACCTTGTCTGTCATTTTTAATGAAACATGCATAAATAAAGGATTGCTGCCTAAATACACAATTTTATATATATATAAGATAAAACTAAGGAGCCAGGCAAACCTACCTAGGTTTCACCTAAATGGATCGTCAGGGTAATGCTGGGGCCAGCATTTCCCTGACGATCCGTTTAGGTGAAACTTAGGTAGGTTTGCCTGGCTCCTTAGTTTTATCTTAGGTTTGCTCTACTTTGTGTATTGAGCACTTTACGTAGTTGCCTTTATTCGTTTTGGGGGTTTTCTTTCTTTTTTGTTTTTTTTATTCCTTATTTTTCTTTGGATACTAGTTTGTTCTACTACAAGCTGAAATACCCAAGGTATTTCCAAGCGAGTATCACTATATATATATATATATATATATACACACACACACACACACACACACATCAGGTGTAACAGAAAAATTGTCCAATTGTTAGATTAAGCTCAGAACCGTTGTATCTTAGAAATGATTAAAGATATCTTACTGGAATACTCCAAGATT